GTAGTACGTGGCGCCCGTTGAGATTCTAGTGGACAAATTTAGAAATAAAATATGGTTGAGTAGTGGGTCCCATTGAAGTTCTGTAGGACAAATTAGGAATTAAAATATGGTTGAGTAGTGGGTCCCATTGAAGTTCTGTGGACAAATTAGGAACTAAAATATGGTTGAGTAGTGGGTCCCATTGAAGTTCTGTGGACAAATTAGGAACTAAAATATGGTTGAGTAGTGGCGTCCATTGAAGTTCTGTGGACAAATTAGGAACTAAAATATGGTTGAGTAGTGGGTCCCCAATGAAATTTTGTGGAAAAATCTGAAACTAAAATATGATTATGTGGAACGAAGTTAAATGAAGGAATGTTTTGATAAATAAATACCTCTTTCGTTAAGCCTAATGGCTCAACAGAAGCTACATGAAGATGTTTGAGTAACAAAGAGAAGCGACGTCTTCTGGATTTAATAATAATTGAAAAATATTTTTGCTTTGGTGACACATGATCTAGTTTTTTGTGTGATTGAAGAGAAAGAACTTTGATTTGTGTACTTTTCTGTGTTTGTTTATTTTCTCAGTATATCTATATGATAATGAAATAAAGGCTTACAACAACATGGCGCTCACATGTTTGTGTTGTGAGACGTCTTATCGATTTGTAGCAAATATTTTGTAAAGGAACATTTTAGGTACATTTGCAATTCTGAACAGTACTTTTCCCTCGTAGTTTTAATAAGTAATGATTCGCGCGAGCATATACATGATGGTTTTTAGTATCGGCTTCTATCAGTAAGAAATAGAAAATGTTTTGATGGTATCTAAAAAACTTGAATCACTAATCGATGTCTCAAGTCACTTTTCAGTAAGAATGAGGAATAATCTTTTGACGAAAGACTTTTGAAATTTTCTCACAGTTTATGTAATGAGACATGTTTAATAGTTTATATCAAACAATGTTGTTATGTTAATTCTATTGTTGTGTATTCATTTTACATGTTAATTATATTGTTGTGTATTCATTTTACATGTTAATTATATTGTTGTGTATTCATTTTACATGTTAATTATATTGATGTGTATTCATTTTACATGTTAATTATATTGATGTGTATTCATTTTACATGTTAATTCTATTGATGTGTATTCGTGTTACATGTTAATTCTATTGATGTGTATTCATTTTACATGTTAATTCTATTGATGTGTATTCGTGTTACATGTTAATTATATTGTTGTGTATTCATTTTACATGTTAATTATATTGTTGTGTATTCATTTTACATGTTAATTATATTGATGTGTATTCATTTTACATGTTAATTATATTGTTGTGTATTCATTTTACATGTTAATTATATTGATGTGTATTCATTTTACATGTTAATTATATTGATGTGTATTCATTTTACATGTTAATTCTATTGATGTGTATTCGTGTTACATGTTAATTATATTGTTGTGTATTCATTTTACATGTTAATTATATTGTTGTGTATTCATTTTACATGTTAATTATATTGATGTGTATTCATTTTACATGTTAATTATATTGATGTGTATTCATTTTACACAGTTCACATTATACGAGTTTAACTAATACGTATGTGGTCATTTGTTGTAAATTTAATGTATTTTTATTGTTGTGTGTTCTTAATAATAATTTTTGATTCTACTCTATACGTAGAATGACTTGAATGTTTTTGTTTAATGTGTTTAATATGTTGTGGTTTCCAATGAGTAGAAAAAGTAAATTCAAACTAACATAGCTAGATATAATTATTAGGAACAATTCACATAAACGTAGCTAGATATAATTATTAGGAACAATTCACACTAACGTAGTTAGATATAATTATTAGGAACAATACACACTAACAGAGCTAGAAATAATTATAAGGAACAATTCACACTAACGTAGCTAGATATAATTATTAGGAACAATTCACACAAACGTAGCTAGATATAATTATTAGGAACAATTCACACTAACGTAGTTAGATATGATTATTAGGAACAATTCAC